TTTTAAGTACACCATTTCTCAGCTTGGTTATAAGGTAAAATGTTTTCTTCTGATCCTCATTAGTTTCTGCACTAAAGTACTACAAATACTACAAAGTCTCATCTCATAGATTGAGTTTATTGCCCAAAGTTTTTTCTTTTAAAATTTAGGTTGGCACCTTGGGTTTTCTTCCGTTTTTTTTTTTTTTTCCCCCTCTGAGAACTGCAGTACTAGATCTCACAGGCGCACCCCCAAACACACCACATACTGGCATAACAGATCTGGTACATGAGTATGATGGCCATAAACTAAGACCTAGAGATAGAGATGGTTTCATTTCTTTTACAAATAATAACCACAGCACCAGAGTATGTATTAACAATATTTAAGAAAACAGTCACAGAAATACAGTAAAGACTAGCACCACCAGGACTACGACTATACATTACTGCCATCACCACCATCATTCATTGGCAATATTTGCTTTATATGGTGAAACAACTAACCCACTCTTCTTTCTAGGCCAGAAGATTAAAACCTTGTACAAATATATAAGTTTCAATGGGTACTATAAATACGAGCTGCTGCCTATGTAAGAGAGCAGACAGACAATGTTATGTAGAACTCGGGCACAATGCAGGGGCAACTTGCCGGAGTGGCTACTGGCATTTCATCTGAGCATCAATAGTCTGACTTATATTTTTTTTAATAAAGACAAACCATGATGCTGAATGTTTGTATTAGTTTTCTTGATTAATTTCTAAGTGTTTTTTTTTTTTATTTTTCAAACTAGCCTATAGGTCTAATTAAACCTTATGAGGTCATGTTTCAGCCTATAGAAACTACTTTCCCAACCTTCCTTTAGGCCACCATGTAGAATTTTGTTCCTGGACTTACAACATTCTTTAACTTCTAATAGCTGGCTAACTTCCATACATTGTGTCTCAACTTTAAAGACACTGCATCAGAGAAAATTTTTAAAACTGATCCCAGTACAACCTGTTTCAGGTTAGGCTACCCTGCTCTGTTATTTCCATCGCACAATGTTCTCCCCCTGTAATAACACTCATCACAGATCACTGCAAGTGGTTTTCAGCTGTTTTCCCATGTTGGCCTCCATGGAGAGAAAGACTTCTATATCCTTTGCCTTTGAAGCAGTGCTGCCACATAGTAGGCACTCCATTAATACTTTTCAGTATACAAATTAGGCCTGTATTATGTGTGTTAATTTTCATTTTTTTAAACTCAATTCTCAGATCAATCAACTGAAGATGGTATAAGAGTTCTAATTCTATAGATGAGTGTGTTGAGGCTTGAAGGAGTTAAAAAACTTGCCTGAGGTATTTATCTAATCAGCAATGAAGAAGGACCTTGTGCCAGACCTAAGTTCTGATCATATATTCAGTTGATTACATTGTTTATATTGCCACATTATGAAGCATATTCTATTATAAACAACTACTTATACTAAGAGTTAAATATTGCTTGCTTTTAAATTGATAAGAATATGAATATGGCACAAATGTGTTGCCATTTACAAATTAAAAAAACAGCAGAAAAATATTTTTTAAAACTCCCAATCTCTGTTTTTTGGGCAAAAAGAAAAAATACATTCATTCCCCCCATAACTCCCTCCAAAATTGGATAAAAAAGTTGCACAACCTGAAATTTGGTTCAAAATACCATTAAAATTTTGAAGGTGCACATATAGAAAATAATGAGTAGAAATGATGCTTTTGAACTGAGGTTTCACTTTAAATCACATGTAATTTGTGTGTACTTTGTGATAGGGGAACATTAAGAAGTTAAATTAAGATTTTTCAAATGCATGAAAAGTAAAAGTTCACCTGCATTGAAGGACTTCTATTTTTCAGATTCACAAACTCAGATTAGTAAGAAAATTACATGGAATTATAATCTTTGTGGGTATCTGTCAGTTAATACATTATCAGCTTGGTCTTACACCTAAATCCTCACAACAACCCTGTGAGGTAGGCTTCCATTCAGGTGATTACAAAGCAAAGAACTAACATCAGCATTAAATGTTTTCATTAAATATTGATATTTATTATGACAATGCCAATGAAAATTAGCTCAAAGATCACATGTGGTTTGTGGTGATATTCTAGGTCATTTCTACTTTTGTAAAAAAAAAAAAGGCTTTAATTTAGATTAGTGTCACTAGGTATGTTTAAGTAGCCTTTAATAGCATACCTGTTTGACATTCTTTCTAGTTAGGATTTAAAATGCTAGTAGCCCTATGTATCACAATAATGTTAGTATAAACTGCTACAGGAATCAGAATGTAGACATGTTAACCATGTACCAAAAATGGAATCCCACTCTAAATTTTACAGATACAGTAATAGTTAATGGTAGGCTTATTGACATTCTCATAATTAAATACTTATTGATTCCACTATGTCTCATGCTTTGTCTTCCCCGGAGCAACCAGCATATATAATGTGCACTTCAGGACAGTTAAGCAATTCATTTTGCAAGTACTTGAGTTTGACAGATGTGCAAATGACTTTCATTATCAAAGCAGCCAACAGCATAAACTTCTGCAGGTGGATGTATGGGTGGGCCATAAAGGGGAAAAGTACTCCATCATTGTA